ATTCTTCCCACACGGAAAATTCAGATCAGGACACAAGCTGCATCTAATACACACACACACACACACACACAGAGAGAGAGAGAGACAGAGACAGAGAGAAAGACAGAGACAGAGACAAAGATATGGAGGCAGAGTTAAGAAGACAGAGACAGGGAAACAGAGGCTTAGAGAGGCCTACAGAGACATACAGTGAGAGAGAAAGAATGTGATAGAGAAGAAAGAGAAAGAGAGAGAGAAAAAAAGAAAGAAAGAAAAGAAAGAAAAAGAAAGAAAGAAAGAGAAAAACTGTTTTGCTGAAGAATTCCTGGTATTCTGACTCTTACAATCTTTCTGCACCCTCTTCTGTCATGTTCCCTGGAACCTAGATGCAGGAGTTATGATGTAGAAGTATCTTATGTGGCTGTGCTCCCCACAATTCATGGGTCTCTCCTCTTTCATCCAGTTGTGGTTTTCTAGGACGGCCTCCATTTACTGTAAAGACAGGCTTTCTTGAGGAAGGTATCTGAAACTGTGTGTATCTGAAATGATACACACAAACAACAAAAACAGACTGACTCAACAGATTGTATTTATTTATTTGTGCTCACAGATGTACACACATATAATAATAATGATAATGATAGGCAAATAAAAAGAAGTTATAAACCTAAGAGTGGAGGCATGTGAGACATTGGAGGAAGGGTGCCTGGGAGGGGCTAGAGGGTAGGGATGGAGGGGAAAGTGATGTAATTCTATTTCCATTAAAAACATATTTTAAAAAGAACTCACCCTTCCTCCACAGTGAACATTTCTTGCCTAAGGTGACCCTATGGTGACTGTATCAGAAGGACTCCAGGAATTCATCACTAGACTGTAGATGTAACCAACCATCTTTTTAAATAAGAAACACAGAACCAATACAAAGAAGAAAGCCAAGAGGTCAGAGCTAAGAGCTAAAACCTTACCCTTCCTCCTGCGGTGGTCCTACCTCTCCGAACCAGAGCTACTTTCTGTGTTAAAGTCCTTATATAGAATTTCTGTTCTGCCTTCTCATTGGTTGTAAACCCAACCACATGACCACCTCCTCACGGCCTGTCTGTATAGACCTCCAGGTTTTCTATGATTGGTATTGAGATTAAAGGCATGTGTATCTAATACTGGCTGTATCCTTGAACACACAGAGACTTACCTAGCTCTGCCTACCAAGTGCTGGGATTACAAGCGTACACCACCACTGCCCTGCTTTCCTATGGCCTGCTAATAGCTCTGACCCCCAGGCAACTTTATTTATTAACATACAAATAACACTTCAATACAAACAAAATATCACCATACTAGACTATTTGAGAGGTTGACAGTCCAGTGTCTCTCTGATGGCCAGAGATGGAGAAACTGATATCCCTGTGTTCTCTGGACAAAAGCTTAGACTGGGTTCTCTCAGTATGACTTCTACTGGGCTTCATGAGAAGCTGGGCAGGTGAAAAACAATATAATGCACAGAGCTATAGTGTTCTCTCAGTCCCCGGTGAGATGCTGAACATTCTATCATAGAAGGTGAGTCCAGCAGGTATAGTCAGAATTCTACTTGACACAGGTGTCACTGGAGGATTCCAGAAGATGATAAGCATAGAAAGGATTGGATTCCTGGAGGGAGAAAGTTGAAGAGCACAGTGATGGGAGTGGACAAGTATTAAGAGACAGAGAAACACAAGTCCTCAGAGGCTGGCATGGTGAGATTTCAGCTGAGAAAATGTAGGAAGCTATTTGAACACCCTTCTTCTCTCCCACACACAGTTCTCTACACAGTCTTCTCTGTCAGTACAGCCAGGCCTGATGGTGTCCCTAGAAAAGAACAGACGCTGCTCATTCCATCATGAAGCTGGGTGGAAAATTTGTTCCTGTCTAGTGATAGACGGAAAATCCTGAACTAAATATTAGGAGGAAACACATCCTGGCAAGTGGATGTAATGACAGACATGATCAACATGAGCATACTCCAGAATTCAAGGTTGGGTTAAAAAATGTAAAATTTCAGACTCGTGTGTGCATGCCTGTGTGACAAGGTGTGGATGTGTGTGCTTCATTAATAATATAAATAATGGGAAATGTGTTCCCTTGAACTGAAAAATAATTTTATCAAAAGTCAATAATATAGATCTAAACATGCTTGGAAAGGACAGGAAATCACTCACTGCCCAAAACTGCAGTGGGTATGTGTTCCAGCTTTGACCTGGAAGTACTACCCCCATTGAGGCTTCTGAAACTGTCACGCCTACAAGGCAGGGCTGAGAAAGGAGCCATTAAGACTGGAGATTCAGATGTGCTGGCTCTCTTGGTTCCTGAATCCTGGACGCTGGAGGTACACCGAGCAGAGTTTTCCAGAGAACACAGCTGGACTGAGCTACACCTTTCCCAGACCCTGTAACCTATACCTTTACTTGTAAGTTACCGCACAAAATAAACCTCCCTTTTAACTTCGAGGAGTTAGTTGCCTTAATACTACAAACAACACAAACAAACATACAACCATACAGCAAAACACTAGATACAGTGTTACAGTATATAGAGTCAAACAAACACAGAGCCTGCACTCAAGATCCAACCACTCAAATTCTGCCCAATACTGATGTGAACTCAAGACAGAGACTTCCCTACATTCCACCATGAGCTGTTTGTGAAAAGCAACAGAAACCGTCCTCAGCAGGGCAAACTCTGATGGACACACAGGTTTACAGGACTCACTCAGCAGAGTCTATCTGCCTATGTGGTCAGTAACTGTGGTCCATGTGGAGTGCTATGGATGGAGGCCATGGGGCAAGGTGGGAGAAGAATCATGACCTTACATCCCGGGGAGTTCATATCCACCAGCAAACAAGATGTCTCTGCTGGAACTCTACATCTGACCATCTGTGTCAGATAGGACAGATGAGATGCCATGTGTGGCTTCAGTCATCCGAGGCAAGTTCACCACCTGGAGCTCATCTCACCATGTCAAGTGTGGATGTTCAGTTTCTCACAGGTCCATGGAAGAAACAGGGTCACACCAGGATGAATTTTGAGTTTTGTCAGGGCAGGGGAACCAGCTTCTGGGGAACTGAATTTTGCTTCACATGAAGCTTTTTATTGTGATACAATTTACACCTTAGCAAGTCAGTTTCCCCATACCAAAACCTCTTATCTGAAGCTTCCCAAGGAAGACAAATGCCAAAGCAATTCTCAGACCCAGGATGTCTCAGTTTTCAGATACCTACTACAGCCAAGTCATGTGTAGGTTTGAACCTTTCAGGAAGAACTCAGATAAGATTTACATACTTCAAACAGAGGTTAACCAACACAAAAGATAACAATCACAAATGGCAGAGCAAAGCCCAGTGCTACAGAATACAGGCCAGCTACAAGACTCTGCAGAAACTCCTGCTAAACAACCAGGAGAGGGCAACATGTCTTCTCACTGACAAAGATGCCTGAGGGAAGGTTTGTGTCAATGAGCTCACAACACTCAGTGAAACCGTGACTGGTTCAAATGGCATGCCCCATCACTTCTTCTCAGGTCAGGAAAGACAGCTGCCATGAAATCAATAGGAAAGTGACACTGTATCCATGAGACACACTGGACATGACAACTCACAGGGGCACAAAAGATGGAGGTGCTAGGATAGGAATATCCCTTAGAAATGGATGTAATGAATACTTGGGACATATCCCCAGTGTGGGTTTCTTTGAAGATAATTACACCCATGAAATGTATCTGATCATGTTCACCACATACTCTAGGGGACTTTTTTTTCCCTTTTATGTAATAGGGCCTGATATAGCCCAGGCTGGCCCCAAATTCATTTGCATAGAGTTTCCTTAAACTCCTGATACTCTTAGCTCTACCTCCTGAATGATGAAGTCAAAAGACATGAGCCACAGTATCATATTTATACAGTACTGGGGATAAAACACAGACATCTAAGAATGTCACACAAGTACGCTACCAAGTGAGGCTTTTTCTGATTTAGTAAAGGACATGCATAGGCAGATTTACAAGATGGTAAATATTCATATTGACATTGATACAAAGAGGAAATTAAGGATGTCCTTCGAGCTCAGCAACAAAAGAGGGAAAATACTCAGTGACTTCTATATCATTCTCCATGTGAGAAACAGGACATGTGTGTGCCCTGGACTCATCCTTTGAAGTGATGCTAAGTTAGAGAATTTTCCCCATGTGACACATTCCTAGCATGGGATCATTCCTGAAGAGGAGTCTGAAAAATAAACTTTTTTCTGGGCACTGCTTAAAAACATCTGAGCTCACCTTGGTTGTGATGATATCTGCAAGTCTACAAGCCCAATGTAAGCTCAATGCAGAACAAATCCAGTATGGGGATAGGAGATGCAGACAAAGTCTCACCCAAAGATGAAGAGCTATTGGCATCTGATATCTACTGGGAGAAGGAGAGTCAGTTTTCCTTAATGGTGTGGACCCTGGTAATATGCCCTAGAATATGGGAAGCACAAATTGGGAGGAAGAGAACAGAAAATTAGGTCTGTAAGGAAAGGCAGTGGATTTTCAACAACTAGCAGGTCACAGAAGGAATCAAAAAGAAAATCAGGTCAGTGAGGAAAGAAACAACAGTAAGTGAGGTTGAGGGAGAAGGGAAGACATGGGAGGATGAATTCCATCAAAACACACTACATACTGATATGATATTTTCAGACAATTAAAAATTAAAATCCGCCAGGCAGTGGTGGCGCATGCCTTTAATCCCAGCACTCGGGAGGCAGAGGCAGGCGGATCTCTGTGAGTTCGAGGCCAGCCTGGGCTACCAAGTGAGTCCCAGGAAAGTCGCAAAGCTACAGAGAAACCCTGCGTCGAAAAACCAAAAAAAATAAAATAAAATCCAATATGGATTACTAATTAAATATAGAAACGAAGTGTATTGTACTGTAATGATTTCACAATAAATAATTTTAAAATATATAAAAAAATTAAACTTATGGCCAGGTTTGGCAGTCCACAAACAAACACCAACATGCAGATCTTTGGCAAAGCCCTGAAGGGGAAAATCACCACCATCAAGGCTGAGCCCAGTCACTCCATGGAGAATGGCAAGGCCAAGATCCCAGACAAGGGAGGCATCCCACCTGACCAGCAGCTGCTGGTATTTGCTGCCAGCAGATAGAGCATGGCTGCACCCTAGCCAATGGCAAAGTCTAGAAAGAGTCCAAATCTGCACCGGTGCATAGAGCCATCCCTTTGCCTGTTTCAGCAGAAGTACTACTGTGACAAGGCCATGCACAGCTGCCTAAGTGCTGCCCACACCTGCACCCTTGTGCGGTCAAATGCCTCAAGAAGAAGGGTGGCCACATCGACAGCCTGTGCCCCAAGAAAGTCAAATAAAACGGGTACTTGTTTGGCTTAGGACGCCTGAGATCTGGTGATTTTTTTAACTGAAGCAGAAGGACAAAGAAGTGATGATGCTAAGATTGGACCTAGTGACACAGACCAGTGTGTAAGTGCTGCTGCCAACCTTCAACCCTGACTCTGATCCGTACTGTGTAATGAGAAAACCGCCTTCTGTACTTGTCCTCTGACCTTCCTGTGTGTGTGCTGTGGCACGTGTGAACGTACACACATAAAGAAAAAGTAAGTGTGATGTAAAGAAATAAGTGTAAATAATAAGCATAATTTAAAGTTGTAATGGAAAGTAAACATATCAAAAAAGAATAAACAACCAGAAATAGTGGTGCACATTTATAATCCAGCACCTAAGACTATGAGGAAGAGGATTATACATTTTATTCCATAAAGATGTACACAATGAGAATTTTCACACAGACCTTCAAATATGTTGAATATGTGTAAGTATTTCAAATAAAAAACTGAAAATGAATAAAGCAAACTCATACGCAACTTCATATTTCTTTTTTTTTCCGAGACAGGATTTCTTGTGTAGTTTTGGTGCCTGTCCTTGATCTTGCTCTGTAGACCAGGCTGGGCTCGAAATCAGAGAGATCCGCCTGTCTCCCTCCTGAGTGCTGGGATTAGAGGCATGTGCCACCACCATCTGACTAAATTTATATTTCTTATGTGTAATAGTCATACATGTCTGATACCATCCGGCCCTGACAAAGATTAGGACAAAATGAGACAGAGACTTATGGGGTTATGGAAATGTCATCCATCAAAGAATTGATTGCGGAGTCTACAACCTGACATAGCCACAGTCTTGGGGAAGTCAGAGCCTGGTGCCTGAGGAGGGCACTTCCCCTTCCTGTGGGGCTGCTCCAGTACAACCATGTCATGGGGAGTGTCCAGCCTCCAGAGACCACACCCTGTGTCTCCTGTCCCTCCAGACAGAATCTGTAGCTCTGCCCATGAGCACAGTTGCAGCCTCCAGGAGGAGATGCCATGACCTTCACCGTCACAGCCCTGCTCTGTCTGGGTGAGATGTGGAGATGGGGAGGGGATACTGTGGCCTAGGAATGATGCTGCTCCAAAGCCTAGTACTGGTCCATCAGGAAACCCCAGGGTCTCAAGAGGTTCTGCAGATGGGGGGACCGCTCAAGCTTCAGGGACAAACCTCTCACTGGGAACTCTCTTCCAGGACTGACTCTGGGCCTCAGGACCCCAGTGCTGGCAGGTGAGTGAGTGTCTGCAGATGTCCTGACCTTCACTTCTCATCATTCCTGCAGCCATGCCTGGGCAGTGAGCATGGAGAACAACACATGTGTGCTGACCCTGGGGATGGCTGGAGGGTTGGGGTTGGGGACTGCAATCTGAGGCTGGCTGTCCTGGGTACCAGCTGCTCTTTTCCTTGTAGGGACCCTCCCTAAGCCTATCCTCAGGGTACAGCCAGACTCTGTGGTCTACAAGCAGACTACAGTAACCTTCTTGTGTGAGGGGACCAGAGGAGCCAAACAGTACAGACTCTATAAAGAGGGATACCAATATCTACGGAGCACAGAGATTCCACAGAATCCTAAGGACAAGGCTGAATTTTCAATCCCAAAAATAGACGACAAACATGCAGGACAATATCAATGTCGATATCAGACTCAAGATGTATGGTCAGAGTTCAGTGACTCCCTGGAACTGGTGGTGACAGGTGAGAGGACACACAGGGTCCCCAGCCTCAGCCTTGACTGTCAAGAAATGGGTCTGTTCACAGGGCTAACCCCACCTAGAGCCAAGCAGGATAATGAGGTCTGATAGATTTAACCAATTTCTCCTTCTCTCCCAGGAGCACACAGTAAACCCAGCCTGTCAGCCCAGTCCAGCCCTGTGGTGTCTGAGGGAGGACATGTAACCCTCCAGTGTGTCTCAAAGCAACGATACTACAGGTTCATTCTGACTGGGAAAGGAACACGGAATATCTCCAAAATGCTGGATTCAGAGTATAACTACTCTACTCAGCACTACGAGGCCCTGTACTCTGTGGGCCCTTTGACCTCCAGCCAAAGGTGGACATTCAGATGCTATAGCAACTACCTGAGAAGCCCACAGGTGTGGTCAAAACCTAGTGACCCACTGGAGCTCCTGTTCTCGGGTGAGCAACCTCAGCTTTTGTCTAGAATGATGTTGAAATGATACATATGCCAGGGAGGTCTTGGTGTGTGGTGTGTGTGAGGGGCCAGGGCTCCTGAGCCCATAACACAGAGCATGGGAGAGAGAGGGACACAAGACACAGAATCCAAGACAGAGAGTGACAGCAAAGTCCAGGAGGTCAGGACGGAGATGAATCCTTACGGGGCCTTCTGTTACTCTGGATCAGCTCATGTGCCATCGACAACAGCTCAGGGAACCCCACAGAAGAGAGGGGGAAGGGTTGTAGGAGCCAGAATGGTTGAGGACACCAGGAGAATCTACTAAGCAGGGATCATGAGGGCTCACAGAGTTGAAGCAGCAACCGTGGAGCCTGTATGGGTCTGCCCCAGACCCTCTGCACACATGCTGTGGTGGTTTACCCTGGGTTCTATTTTGTTTACTTTTTAGAATTTTACTGTGTAGCCCTGTCTGTCCTAAAACTCACTCTGTAGACCAGGCTGGCCTTGAATTCACAGCATCTGTCACTCCTGGCATCTGTCACCTGAGTGCTGGGATTCAAGTCGTGTGCCACCACCTCCTGGCTCACTTGGGATTTTTGTTAGACTCATAGCAATGGGATGGGGAAATCTCTGACTCTTTGCCTGCATGTGGGATATTTTTCCTCCTATTGGATTGACTTGTGCAGCCTTAATATGAGGGTGTGACTAGTCTTACTGCAAGCTATTATGTCACATTCAGTTAATATCACTGGGAAGCCTCTTCTTTTCTAAAAGGAAACAGAGGAACAGTGGATCTGGGGGAGAAGGGAGGCAAGGAGGCTGCTGTCAGGATGTATGTATGACAGAATAATAAATAAAAAAGAAAAGTGTCATTCACAAGTGAGATTTTCTCCATGCCACTGTCAGACACACCCAATTCCTTCTCTCCTGCTTCCTTGCAGGGACCCTCCACAAACCCACCATCAAGGCTGAGCCAGGCTCTGTGGTCACTTCAGGAAAACCCATGACCATCTGGTGTCAGGGGACCCTGGATGCAGAAATATATGTTCTACATAAAGAGGGAAGCCAAAAAAACTTAGGTACACAGACCCCAGAGAAGCCTGAGAACAAAGCCAAGTTCTCCATCCCTTCTGTGACATGGAAACATGGGGGACACTATCGCTGTTACTGTTACAGCTCAGCTGGCTGGTCAGAGCACAGTGACCCCCTGGAGATTGTGGTGACAGGTGAGGGTCTCAGGACCAGGCTCTGCTCTCAGGAGTATTTCTCTCCTATAGCCTAAATCTGAAGAACACTGTGGCTGTGTGAGCCCATGTAACAGGCCGCCTCCTTCTCCTCTAGGAAGCTACAACAGTAAACCCAGCCTGACAGTCCTGCCCAGCCCTGTGGTGACTTTAGGAGGGAGCATGACCCTACAGTGTGTCTCCAAGGAGGGATATGATAAACTCATACTCACCAAGGATGATCAGAAGTTCCTCAGCTCTATGAACTCACAGTATATACCCAGTATTATGCAATACCAAGCCTTGTTCTCTATAGATCATGTAACACCAGACCACAGAGGGACATTCAGATGTTATGGTTACTACAACCAAACTCCACATTTGTGGTCAGTACCCAGTGAACCCCTGGAAATACATATCTCAGGTGAGTCAGCCCCCTCATTGACCAATCCTGTCCCATTGGGTAGTTGCAGGTAAAGACTGGCTGTGGAATAGCCTGGTGACTGAGCCAGAGCCCCACTCCTGGGGAGAAGCAGTGACATGTGCAGGGCAGGATGGGAGGGATAAGTGTTTGATAAAAACCAGCTCCTCAATCCCTAGCCTGTCACCTTCCCTCTAGGCCTGTCCAAGAAGCCGTCCTTGCAGACTCACCAAGGCCATATCCTGGACCCTGGAAAGACCCTCACCCTGCAGTGTTGCTCTGACATCAACTATGACAGATTTGCCCTGTACAAGTTGGGGGGAGATGACCTCACCCAGCATGATGGCCAGTGGACCGAGGCTGGCCTCTCCATGGCCAGTTTCACACTGGGTCCTGTGAGCAGCTCTACTGGAGGCCAATACAGATGCTATGGTGCACACAACCTCTCCTCTGAATGGTCAGCCTCCAGTGATGCCCTGGACATCCTTATCATAGGTGAGGAACTAAATAGATTCCCTCAGATACCTATCCTCTTCATGGATCTCATGGGGGAGTTAAAGAGGTGATGGCTGGAATGAGGGGCAGGAATCTTATTTGGGAAGAGATGCAGAGTCAGGAGAACAAGAGAGGGGCTCAGGCAGAGAAAAGAGACAGATTCCCAGGTGCTTAGGGAAGACACATGTGAAGTGCCAGCTCAGAACATTGAAGGCAGCCTCTCATCCTCCCTCTTCTCTTTAGGACAGCTTCCTGTCAGTCCTTCCCTCTCAGTGAAGCCTAACTCCACAGTACACTCGGGAGACAACGTGACCCTGCTGTGTCAGTCAACATACAAAGTGGACACTTTCATTCTGTCCAAGGAGGGAACAGTCCATCAACCCCAGCGACTAAAATCAAAGTCTGAAGCTTGGGATTTCCAGGCAGAATTCTCCATGAGTGCTGTGACCTCTGCCTTCTCGGGCACCTACAGGTGCTACGGATCTCAAGACTCATCTCCCTACCTGTTGTCATATGCCAGTGCCCCTGTGGAGCTCACGGTCTCAGGTGAGGTGACACTGAACTCTCAGGGTGACTTACAATCCAAACACTAGGAGAGCTCCTGACTTGGGTAGGATTAAGGGGACAATAGGAAGGTTTGTCAGATGGCACTTTCACTGCCGAGAAGTAGAGGCCAACAGCAGTGGTCCTTCTAGAAATGTCCACTCCATCCTCTATTACAATCTAGGTTTCAGGGAGACAGCATGAGGATCTTGGGGAGGTTAGAGGATAATGAGCAGAGACAGGCCCTTGGGTTAGCATCTAACCCTCACTCCCTCTTGTTTTTGTTTCCTAGAAACCATCGGAGGCCCCAGCCCACCACCCTCAAAGTCCATGCCAACATCTGGTAAGTATCAGGCACCTCAGTGCAGGGAATATGCTCCATCCCGAGACTCCCTCTCAGCTCTTAGGCCACCAGAGTCCTCATTTCTCTGTCACTTTAGCTTGTGAGTGTGGGAGGAAAACAGAGATTCCCAACAGAGACCACAGAGACCCAGAACTTGAGGTTGGGATACAGAAGGTGGCATCCAGAGAGAGAGAGATGTTCTGGCTCAGTCTGGAGGATTGGGAAGGTAGGTGATGTGGAGAGCAGGGATCCCAGCCAGGGGGTCAGGGCAGGGCATTCAGGCTCCTTCTCTCCAAATCATGAGGCTCAGCTCAGGTGGAGAGAAAAGAGATGGAAGTAAAAATCCCTGGGTTCAACTCCAAGCTCTGCCACTTCCAGTCAGGTGATCTGAGGCAGGTGAACTGTGGGGACAGAAAAAGAGACAATTCTTTGTTGATTGATTGTGAGGATGAGTGCAAAGACCCAGCATGCGTCTGTCACACAGTAGGTACTCAGTTAAGCAGCAACATTCCCCACTCATGACGTCACTTATGTCTCAGGACTGGAAGTGTACCTGAAGGCTCTGGTCGGAGTCTCTGTGGCCTTCCTCCTGTTCCTCTTCATCCTCATCTTCCTCCTTCTCCGACGAAGGCATCAGGGAAAATTCAGGAAGAATGGTGAGAAAGGTGTGGGTGACCTGGGTCTCAGGTGGTGGTAGGTTCTCCTGTGAACATTCAAGCACAGGATCAGGACACCAGCCCCCCCCGCAGGGAACCCTCAAACAAGCTGGGTAGTTTAGAAACACTTGCAGATCTCAGATCAGAAAGATCATGATCTCAGAACCTGTGCAACGTCAGGTGTTCTGTGAGCTTCACCATGGCCTGGGACATTTGCTCACTCACCCATGATGTAAAGTTTCCTACCTTCCTTCCTTCCTTCCTTCCTTCCTTCCTTCCTTCCTTCCTTCCTTCCGTCCTTCCTTCCTTTCCTTCCTCCCGTCCTTCCTTCCTTCTTTCCCTGTACGAGACTCTTCTCTCTCTTGCAGCCCAGAAAGATACAGAATTGCAAATTCCTACAGGAGCTGCGGAGCCAGTAACCAGAGACAGAGGCTCCCAGAATAGGTAACTCATGGCCAGAGACATAGACTCCCACCTTCCTGACACACCTCACTGCCAACTGACATCTTCTTGTCTCTCCAGATCCAATCCAGCTGCTGCCCCTCAGGAAGAAATCCTTTGTGAGATAAAGAGGGTCCTGAGGAGGGAGATGTCTGAGGACCCAGCATTGCAAGGGTGGTGGAGAGGCTCTGGGTTCTTTGCTATTTGGGTCTGAACTTCATCCTATAGACACAGGGCTATCACAACACTCCCCGAATCTCTGTCCACATTTGGGGCAATGTAGGAAACCAGGGGTCAGAGTCATCCCTAGACTCTGATCAGGGAACATTCTGTTTGTTCTTCTGACAGATGCTTCAGTGGAGGACACACAGCCTGCGGATGGTGCCAAGCTGGACAGTTGGGTGAGGTTTCTGTCCCTATCGGCAGTGCTAAGGACTTAGGGCCCAGTTTAGTTCAGGGGATGTCTGTAGCAGGAATCTTAAAAGTTTTTTAATAAAAACAAACCTGAGGCCAGATATTGGGGTGAATTCTGGAAGATCAGAGAGGCAGAATAAGCCACAGCTACCTCACCTTTCCAGTTCCTCAGCTGGTCCTGTTTCCTCAGACTGGAAGCCTCTGTGTCCTTATCCGAATGGCACTCAGCTGAGCTGCTGCTCAAAGCCTAAAAGCTTAACCAGCCAAATGTTTCTAGTTTCTGGTCTTCACGCCTTATATACCTTTCTGCTTTCTGCCATCACTCCCTGGGATTAAAGGCTCACTTTCTGGGATTAAAGGTGTGAGTCACCATGCCTGGCTGTTTACAATGTGGCCTTGAACTCACAGAGATCCAGAGAGATTTCTGCCTCTGGAATGCTAGGATTAAAGGTGTGAATGCCACTATTTTCTAGCCTCTATGTCTAGTGGCTGTCCTGTTCTCTGACCCCAGATAAGTTTATTAGGGTGCACAATATTTTGGGGAACACAATACCACCACAGATGCCTTCTTTGTTCTCCCTCTCTTTGCCCTCAACAACATCCACAGCTGACCACTCCCTTCTTCAAGTACCTGCCTCCTGTGTGTTATGGCCTCACTCTCTCCTGGTTTTCCAGGGCTCACGTGTCTCATGACTCCTGTTCCCTTTCTGGCTCCTTGGCATCTGTCTGTTAGGCTTCGGAGGGGACAGCCAGGATGGAAAAATCCAGAGAAACATCTAAGAGACTAGCAACTGCAAGAAGAAACTAAAGGGACTTGGGAATGATGTGGGGTTTTGTTTTGTCTGTGTGGATGTTTTACAAGCATGTATGTCCCTGCACCACATGCCTGCATGGTGCTCTCAGGGGCCAGAAGAGAGTGTCAGATACCCTAGAATGAGAGTTACAAATGAATGTAACTTGCAAGGTGGGTTCTGGGAACCAAACCTGGATTCTGTGCAGTAGTAGTCAGTGCTCTTAAACACAGAGCCATCTCTCCAGCCCCTAGAAATGTGTTTTCAGGAAGATGAACTGTGTGGGTACAGCCAGAACAGCAAGGTTTAGAATGTCATGATAGCAGGCCAGAACTGTAGGAAGGAAGCCTCAGAAGATCCCATCAGGGATGCTGTCATCTAAATGGGTCACTCTGGCCATGCTGTGGAAAACTAGCCAGAGCTCCCCAGGGGAACAGGGAGACACTGTCTGTCCCTCACTACTTCCCTGCTACAGAGACCAGCTGAGGAAGACCCCCAGGGAGAGACATATGCCCAGGTGAAAGGCTCCAGGCTCAGGAGGGCAGGAGCTGTCCTTCCTTCTGTCATGTCAGGAGAAGTCCTGGCCACCAAAGATGGACAAGCAGAAGATGACAGAGAGATGGATGCTCAGGTGGGTCCTGTCCTCCACAGGACTTCAGCATCCCCCAAGTCAAGTATAAACCCTCCTCCCACTCTCTCTCACTCCAGGCTGCTGAATCTGAGGAGCCCCAGGATGTGACCTATGCCCAGCTGTGCATCAGGTCACTCAGACAGGGGACAGCTGCACCTCCTCCCTCCCAGGCAGGGGAAGCCCCAGAGGAGTCCACTGTATATGCTGCTCTGGCAGTCACTCAACTGGGCTCTGTTCCCAGTAACAAGGAGCAATGACTCCCTGCCTACTGAGAGACCTAACAGAAACCTCCAAGGGGTTCTGTGAACCTTTAGGAATCTGAAAGCATTTTAACTAACATCATACATTTTGGAAATAAAGCAGATTTCTCAATAATAAAGTGAAATGAGAAACTAAATAGAAGGGAATGGTTTTACACTGAGTACTAATTTTAATGACATCACTCATCAAAGCCATGAAATGAGAAAATTTACAGGCTTGGTTGCACAGATCCATAATCCCAACCCCAGGGAGGCTGAGGCAGGAGAATTGTCTTTGTTTTCTGGTTATCTTGGCATACCTAGTGAATTTCATGGCAGCCTGAGCTGCAGAGTGAGACATGTTTCATACATTAACCACCAAAGGCCAGGGTGGAGGTACAAACCTGAAATCCCAGCACTTTGAAGGTGTGTACAAAAGGATCAAGAAGCCAAGGTCATCTTCACCTTCATAGCACAGGAGTAAGAGGAGGACAGCCTGGAACACATGTGACACTTTTAAAATAAATAAGCCAGGCATGGTGGCGTATGCCTTCAATCTTGGCACTTAGGAGGTAGAGACAGGCAGGTCTCTCTGAGTGTGAGGACAGCTGGAGTAATAGTGAGTTCTAAGTATCCAGAGCTACATAGAGGAACCATGTCTCAAAGAATAAGTAAATAAAATAGGGCCAGTGAGACGGCTTGGCCAGTATAGTTACTTGCCACCAAACCTGATATCCTACATTCAATCAGCAGGAATAGGGGAAGGAGAAAACTGACTCCCACAACTTGTTCTCTGACCTCCACCTATGACCTTGGTGTCTTACCCACACCCAAGAAATAAATAAAACAATTTAAAATATAAACTAACAATCATAAATGAAAGCTGAATATAGTGGTGTAGGCCTGTAAACCCAACAAGGCTGGCCTCAAACCTGCTGTCTTCTGCCTCAATTCCTGGTATGTACAATAATATATTCACTTTATTTTCTTAAAGGTTTATTGTGTTTTATTTATGTGTATGTATATGTGTTTGTGTGATTTTATTCCACGTGTATATAGGTGCCTATGGAGACCTGAGTGGACATTGGAGCTGGAGTTATAGATGTTTGTGAGCTACATGCTGTGGGTGCTGGGAACTGAACTCAGGTCCTCAGCAAGAGCAGTCCATGTTCTTAACCACAGAGACACCTTTCTAGCCTCCCCACATTCACTAAAAATGTAATAACAGCAGAGCACTATGAACACTTTTATACCAACAATTTAGGAGCTGCACATAAAATGGACAGATCCCTTGATTGCCCAATAAATACAAAATCTTAGTGACTTCCTACAGATTGAACACACTGTCACTAGAAAAGTTCCCCTTTGGAAATTCACTTTCTGGAAGCTGGTGACTTTTTCCAAATGTTTGTGTATTTGAAATAGACATTACTAAACTAGAGAAAGAGGAAATATAGCCCAACATAATTTATCAGACCAGAAAAATACTATTAACAAAACCTGACAAAGAAAACCTAGGAAGAAAGTTCTTTCACATCAGCCTAGATTCGACCCCTAAAAAAATTAATGAACCAACAACCAGGAAGTCTGCATGAGACTAACCTAGACCCTCTGCATATATATTACAGTTGTGTATCTTGGTCCTATGGGACTCCTAACAGTGAGAGCAGGGGCTGTCCCTGACTCTGTTGTCTACTTTTGGGACCCATTCTTCCTACTGGATTGCCTCATCTAGCATTAATAGAAGAGGAGATACCTAGTCTCACTGCAACTTTATATACAATGGCTGGCTGATATCCATGGGAGACCCTCTATTTTCTGAAGAGAAACAGGAGGAGGAGGAGGTTATCAATTTGAGAGTGGGAGGTGTGGGGCGTTTACCCACCACCCCCACAGTTCCCCAGAGTTTTCTTGAGTGTGAGCAGCAGGAAATATTAGATAGAAGGATTTATTGAGGAGAATCTTGCGGAGATAAACAAATAGAAAATAAAGGATAGCCTCGAGAGGGCCTGGAACCTATTCCAACGGGCCGACTGTCTCTGCCCCAGGGTTTTTATAGAGACGCCAAGGGGTGGAGCAAAAGACCTCCGCCCCCAGCACAGCCAAGTGCAGACCATCTCAGACACCTGCACTCAGGCCCGTGGTCCTAACCATCCTCTATTAGGACATGCTGGGTAAAGCCACGAGGAACCCGAGAACAGGCTCCCACAGGTCCCCCTTTCTTAATATATAAAAAAAATAACTAATAATGGCTTACAGCAATCTCCAAGCTGTTACACCTCCCAGTATGGGAGTAGAGGATGATAAAAATGGCATTTCTCTTTTGAATTAGGTCCAAGGTGACTACAGAGTCTTAGCTGCCTCAAGCCCTTTCCAAACCAAAAACTCTTAAGGCAACTACAAACTTATAGAATCCCTTAGCTTCATCATTACCATTAACAGGATAACATAAATATTGCTATACATAGTCACAATTCTCTCAATCTTACAACTCAAAGCAAACTCTTAACAGAACCATTTGAATTAGCATATATGGTGCTATATATATAGTTAACAATTTTCTCCGTCTTACAACTTTAACTCTTAATCATTTGAATTTTCTTGCTAACAGAACATAGGAAAAACTTCGATGTATTCACATCAAACTTAAATATTTCCTTAACTCCACAAAACCAGGGTGCATTAATATCAATAGGGTAAATATAATTTCTGCAAACATAATTCAACCTCATAACTCCTCCTTTTCTTTATAATTTTTTAAACAAAATCTCAGACCTAATTAGAGGAACCCAAACATACAATTTCTACAGACCCATATTGAAAAGCAATATTTTCAATCTAACCATGAACACTTTGAAAATTTTTAGCAAAACATCCAAAAGCAGTTTCTTAATAAAACTCTTTACACTTTAAAAGTAGCCTCTTAGGCTACAATTACCCTAATTCCTAAACCAAACAAGGATACAACAAAGAAAGAGAACTACAGACCGATCTCCCTCATGAACATTGATGCAAAAATACTCAATAAAATACTGGCAAACAGACTCCAAGAACACATCAAAACAATTATCCACCATGATCAAGTAGGATTCATTCCAGGGATGCAAGGGTGGTTCAACATACGAAAGTCCGTCAATATAATACACCATATAAACAAACTCAAAGAAAAAAACCATATGATCATCTCACTGGATGCAGAAAAGGCATTTGACAAAATCCAACACCCCTTCATGATAAAGGTATTAGAGCGATCAGGAATACAGGGAACATACCTAAACATAATAAAGGCAATTTACAGCAAGCCAACAGCCAACATCAAATTAAATGGAGAGAAACTCAAAGCAATTCCACTAAAATCAGGAACGAGGCAAGGCTGTCCACTCTCCCCATACTTATTCAATATAGTACTTGAAGTTCTAGCCAGAGCAATAAGACAACATAAGGAGATTAAGGGGATACAAATTGGAAAGGAAGAAGTCAAGCTTTCCCTATTTGCAGATGACATGATAGTATACTTGAGCGACCCCAAAGATTCCACCAAGGAACTGATACAGCTTATAAACACCTTCAGCAACATAGCAGGATACAAGATCAACTCAAAAAAATCAGTAGCCCTCCTATATACAATGGACAAAGAAGTGGAGAAGGAAATCAGAGATACATCACCCTTTACTATAGCCACAAATGACATAAAATACCTTGGGGTAACACTAACCAAGCAAGTGAAGGACCTATATGACAAGAACTTTAAGTCCCTGAAAAAAGAAATTGAAGAAGATGTCAGAAAATGGAAAGATCTCCCATGCTCATGGATAGGCAGGACTAACATAGTAAAAATGGCAATCTTACCAAAAGCAATCTACAGATTCAATGCAATCCCCATCAAAATACCAACACAATTCTTCACAGACCTGGAAAGAATAATACTCAAATTCATATGGAAAAACAAAAAACCCAGGATAGCCAAAGGAATCCTGTACAATAACACAACTTCTGGAGGCATCACGATCCCTGACTTCAAGCTCTACTATAGAGCTACAGTAATAAAAACAGCTTGGTACTGGCATAGAAACCGACATGTGGACCAATGGAATCGAATTGAAGACCCTGACATTAATCCGCACACCTATGAACATATAATTTTTGACAAAGAAGCCAAAAGTGCACAATGGAAAAAAGAAAGCATCTTCAACAAATGGTGCTGGCAAAACTGGATATCAACATGTAGAAGGCTGCAAATAGATCCATATCTATCACCGTGCACAAAACTTAAGTCCAAGTGGATCAAGGACCTCAACATAAATCCAGCTACTCTGAACCTGCTAGAAGAGAAAGTAGGAAGTAGTCTTGAACGCATTGGCATTGGAGACTACTTCCTAAATAGAACACCAGTAGCACAGACTCTGAGACAAACAATCAATCAATGGGACCTTTTGAAACTGAGAAGCTTTTGTAGAGCAAAGGATACGGTCAACAAGGCAAAGCGACAGCCTACAGAATGGGAAAAGATCTTCACCAACCCCACATCTGACAGAGGACTGATATCCAGAATATATAAGGAACTCAAGAAATTAGACATCAAAATGCCCAACAGTCCAATTAAGAAATGGGCTATAGAACTAAACAGAGAATTCTCAACAGAGGAAACTCAAATGGCCGAAAGACATTTAAGGAATTGCTCATCATCCCTAATCATCAGGGAAATGCAAATCAAAACAACACTGAGATACCACCTTACGCCTGTCAGAATGGCTAAGATCAAAAACACTGAAGACACCTTATGCTGGAGAGGATGTGGAGCTAGGGGAACTCTCCTCCACTGCTGGTGGGAATGCAAGCTTGTACAACCACTTTGGAAATCAATATGGCGCTTTCTTAGAAAATTGGGAATCAATCTCCCCCAAGATCCAGCTATACCACTCTTGGGCATATACCCAAGAAATGCTCAACCACACCACAAGAGCACTTGTTCAGCTATGTTCATATCAGCATTGTTTGTAATAGCCAGAACATGGAAA